ATCACCACCATCTACAGCCACTATCCACTGTCACCGGGGGCGACCGAGAAAAGAGATCGCACGAGCGCAGAGAGACGCGTGAGGAAAAGCAAGTGGAAGAGGCTGTGGGGGGGGTCAAGGAGAAATAAAGCTGGGTTGCCTTCCATCTCCAACAGAATGAGGCTTTGGCTTGCAGGAGATTTCCTCAAAAGCTTCCCATCCTGCTGGCGACGGGACGAACCAGGACTTAAACTGGCCCCTCAACCACCAGACGCACCGGCATCACACAAAAGAGGAAACGTGGGGTAACGATCTGAGGCCACCGGGAGACGTCATTAACCAAGAGCAGTTACCGGGATGCTCTCGCTCCACCAGGCGCAGCTGCAGCGCCGCCGTCACAGACGCGTGGACGCGATGAGCTGTTACTCCAACTTGTCACGCGGGTGTTACATTGCTTCTGTGATTCACATCGTTTTTTTACACTTTCAATATCCCGGGTGAGCCTGGATGCCATTTATTGGTTAACACGCTGCATTACAGCGGTGTGTTCTAGGTACAGCTATTAAATTGTGTCGGAAATATATCCAAACAGAGGACTTCTAATCTAATCTGATGTTAATCAGGCTTTATTCGCAAGGAGTGGATACTGGCAGGGAGGGAAAAAAACGACAAATACAATAAACACTACAGCTGTGATCGATACAAACACGTCCCGATTGAGGCGGTAGAAGGTGTAATCTCTCCAGCAATACGGCTGCTGCAGAACGTAACTGCAAATGCGAGACGGGTTCGAGCCTTCAAGGCAATAAATACAGACAAATCTGAACGGCGCTGAATTCTATCGGCAAAGCCGCGGCACATACTTCAGGCTCAAGACGGAGAGGTTCCCGCCCACCTGACGGGCCGCAGTACGTCAGAGCAGACACAGCGGCAGGTGCGCTGTACTGATGCCGCGCTCTCCTTTTCTCTGCGAGGACACAACGAGTGTGCCGGTGCCGGAGAGATAAAGAACACAGAGAGAGAGAGAGAGGACTGATAGAGCCAATGGCCGAAGCTCGGCAACACTCACACAAAATACAAAATCAATCTCCATTGATCACCTTCTCCAACCCCGGGCGTCTCCACCACACTCTCACTTTCTTTCTTTATTTATATATCTATTTTTTGCAGTAGAAAAAAGAAGAAAAAAAAAAGAAAGAAGGGAAGAAAAGTCCGTGTTCCACTAGAGTGGACACACAAGATGAGTTCTGCAGCACTTCTGTGGCTCTCTCTCTGGGAGAGTGTATTTACCACTCCGCTCCCAAGTTCAATATTAGGAGAGCCAACACAGCTCCCCAGCTGACTGCAGCGCGCGCGCACACACACACACACACACACACACACACACACACACACACACACACACGTCCCCTCTGAACCAGAGTGTTTGGCCTCGCTGTTTCTCTCTATCTCTGCCCCCTCAGACTTCCTGCGTTTCTGAACTGACTGCTTTCTTTTCTTCCTCTCCTCTCGCCTCGTGCAGTTAGGGCCTCCTGCCGGGCCAATTTCAACGCAGCTTCCCCTCCCGCTCGCTTTTGCCAGAGTCGGAGTGTGTTAGCGGCTCGCCTTCTGCGCGCGGATCTGTAACCTCGGCCACCGCGGAGCATCCGTCTGGACAAAAGAGGAGGCTAATGAGGAAGCCGGAGCCGAGCCGGTCTGAACCATTAAGGGCCAGGTTATGTGCATATTAGAGCGGAGCGCTGGGGGCCGTTAACCGCCCACGTCACCGTTAACGTGCCACTTAATTCCTGTAACAGCCACGTCCACGTTACGAGTGGGGAGCTAAATGCACGGCGGCACCTTTTACCATGTTATGCTAAACCGAGCTAACTTGAAGCGTGCAGGCAGAAGAGTGGGAATATGTACAGATGTGCCCCTGACAGGGGGGGGGGGGGGGTCACAGTCACATTGCTGCAGCGATGTGCAAAATAAATCCAGGTTTGTACAGACCAAACTTAATTTGCAGTTGGTCCCTAAACCGGGATGATTAGTTGCTAATTCTTCCGTTTCTCCCTAAATAAGTTTAGTTCGATAAGGGGCTCATACTTTATGCTTCAATTTGGTTTAATATTCCTAAATCACAACCGCTACCACGGGGAAATGAAACGTTCTGTGCAGCCCTCCGTTATCCTGCTAACAAAAGGACAAACAAAGCCCACCGAATCGACAATTTGCCCATTTTATATAGAGATAAAGAAAAGCATTAAAGAACTGTGCAACACTGCAGCGCTGCGGGACTGTGGCGACTGCAGGAGAACGGGGCAATGCGGAGCTGTGGGGTCGTGCATGTGGCACGAGGGGAGAAGGGCCACAAACAGTCACACTGCTTGTGGTGAAGCGAGCACGGGGTTCCCTTTACCCGGCACGCCCAGCTCCTCATCTGCAAAAAGGAAGACGGGGTTATTGCGTCTTTATTAGTTTCCAGTCGTGCTTGAAGTAAGAAGCACAACGCCGGGTCGGCTGTGTGGGACCGACTGGTGGCAAAAACCTACCCAGAAGCCTCGTAGTCGTACTCGGTGATAACAACATGCTCCATATAGCTCCGGTTCCTTTTTGCCAGATAAGACTCCCGAGGTGATTCGAATTGGACACGACGGCTTCTCAGAACTGCAGCCAATTGGGTAACGCCATTGAAAACCCGCCATGTAAAACGAAGGAGTCAAACGAGGCTGCGCACAAAAGCAGCGCTCCTGCCGCCCGCGCTATTCTGTAAGTTAAAAGCTCTCGCTTTTCTCTCCTTCTCCTCTCCTCGCACCGCCTCCCGCTCTGCCTCTCTTCCTCCATCCAGCGCTGACAACGGCGCACTCGGAGGCAGAGTGACCTGTCCAGACCCTCCGATACCGCTGAGTTTATTAGAGGCAGGAAGGGAATGAAAACCTGTCACTCTGCTTACCCTGACCTCCTAACACCCACTTTAGCTTTCACACACACACACACACACAGACTGGTAGACATGTGTGTGTGTACTTGTGTGTGTGTGTGTGGAAGATTCCATGCACTCTGGTACCTTCACCTCCTCCCACAAGCATCCTTCAAAAAAACGAAAAGGAAAGACGGCTGAACGGTTCGTCTAACCTTACTTTAGATTACTGCCTGTGCTGGTGGGTTCCGTGCGTCGCCCATTTAGTAGAGCGGTTTAGGCGACGGAGACGCTGTTTAACGTGCCTGAATGATCTGTGGACTTCCCAGCAGAAAAGTCTAAGGAGAAAATCAATGTGTCTACATCGTGTCGTGGCGGGTTCCGCTTGGCCGGCAGCGGATGGTAACTACTTACTGCAGGACGTCTCATTGATTTGGTTACTTCTAAGGGCCTTCCGACGTCGTGCAACCAACAATGGTAGCCATGCTAACGCTAACGCTAACCACGACATCATTACAATGTTAGCTTGTTGGTTTGACAAAGGAAGCCGTTCACTAAATCCTTAAATGTTATTGTTATAATCTGAAATACTATTAGTATTATTATGAAGGATATAAACTTGTATTTTCTATTTAACTTTTAGTTTTTGCTCTTTCTGCATGATTGTGTTTTTCGTACATTGATGCGTTTCTGGGTATTGCGTTGTCAAAACTAAATGGGACACAGAAAAACAGTCAAAGTCAATGGGTTCATGGAAAAGTAGACATATAAATAGCCTTACCATTAGCATCAATTACACAGGGCTACTAAAATAAACAGCTTTTGCTTGTTGTTCCAGATGTTATGAACAGGAAGCCTCTGTGTATTGTTATTGTCAGCTATACTGTCATTAGTGCGATCATTACTATTATGTTTTACTTTGTTTTTTTTCCCAGTGGCTGCCTGTTGTTGCCGGTGGTAATTATGGTGCTTTTGATGACCTAAACCCTCCGTGAAGCATCATTACAGCACTCACACTACTTTCCCTCCCTGGTTTCCATCTACTCGGTACCCCGCTCACTCGTTCCCCCTCCATCACTAAATGTTTCATATCTCGCTCCTCTCTCTCTCATCATTTCCTTCCATCCCTCTCCAGATGCTTCCTCCCCGTCCTCGCCCTGTCCTTTACATCTCTTTATCTCCTTCTCCGCCAGCGGTGAGCCGTCACCGAGCTAGTTATTAGTGCCAGCTTTCCAGCATGCCGCTGTAATCAGAACCCCGGGAATTAGCAGCGGGTCCGCGCTCGTCACGGAGGATGTAGCAGTGCTGCAGCTTTGGCAAGAAAACCGCTTCGGCGGGAGGAGAGAGACATCCGCCCGAGGCCAGGGCGCACTTTTTGCTTTTCGCTTGTTAGGGTGGCGCTTGGAGTGCAGCCATTTTGGAGCACATTGGGGAAATGTGTTACATTATTTGGGGGGTTGGGGGTAGAGATAAAGATGTTGTATTAGCATGGTCCTTCCTTTTGACATTCACATGCAGTTTAGTGTCACTCACAGACTCACAGCCTTGTGGTTTAATCAATGATTGGCGGGAGTTTTCCGTTCCGAAAGACAAAACGTGCCGCGCAGACACCCCCCCTGTGGTTTATCTACATGTTCTTCACGCCATTGAAATTCAACTCCCGCAGCGGTTTAATGGAGTGTCAATGTCGGGTCAGGGTGCGTTCTGTTAATGCTTTATATTCAGTGAACTCTCACGGGTTCATCATTTCTGGATCAAAGCCCCCGATATTTTGATTTCATTTTGACACTAACATAAAACACAAAGACTCCATACTTTTCCAGCTTCTACCTGCGTTCCTGTCTCTACTTCCACACGTCAGCCTTATTTTACTGACTGCTGCATTCAGGCGTGTTGGAGCTGCGTGCTGCTGCTGATGCAAACTGGACCTGTCATGCCGGCTTGCAAGCTTTTAATTGGCGAAGCAGCTGGACACTGTTGTTGTGAGAAAGTTATGGGAGCACGTCACCAAGTTAGCAGAGTTTTTCTTTAGTCTCCTTAAATTCATTATTCGGATCCTTCTGCCTTCGGAGATGCGGTTCGGTAAGCGGGTAATGCTGTCGGCACGGGCGGCGTTACTTACAGCACGGCCCCTGGCGCAGAACCTTGATGCGTCGCTGCGCGTTGCACTGGGCTTTCTCCAGCTCGCACTCGTTGGAGTAGGTGGAGGAATCCGAGCCGCACACGGGCGCCACCAAGGACGGGCAGTCCACTCTCTTGCAAACACACTTAGACTGGACCGGGTCGGCTTGGTCGATCTGACATACAGCGCCGAAGCCACACAGCATCCCCCTGCAGCCTGCCAGAATCAGGGGAGAGGAGAAACAAAGGAGGTGTCAGGATTGATATAGGAACATTTCATCAAAGGAGCACATGTTCAGTTTTCACCAGCAAAGTTTGTGTCTGTTGCGGAGCTCGACACAGTTTACACGGGGGATTAAATGCGATCGTGGCGTGAAGCAAACAGATGTTCTAAAATCAATCAGGAGAGAATCCGTCCGCGCATGCAGAGCGAGCGCAGTGCGCCCGGAAAGGCTTCAATGTGAAAAACTAAGCTACAAAAGTCCGAAACGGCATTAAAATCAATCCAGCGACGGCAACAAGCAGACAAACCGCTGCTCGCCAACCACTTCAAGGCCGCATGAGTCGAGCAACAACAACAACAACAACAACGACGACGACAACTCTAAGGGCGTTTGACGCTCAGTGAGTGGGAGGCCCACTGAACGCGCAGCCTCTGTGGCCACTTGGAGGGCGGCCGGGCAGCCGGCAGCTCGCCATCTCTTCTCGCCTCGGTGTTGAAAGAGATGGCGAGCTCTCGCAGGCGGCAAACCCGATCAGAAATCAATGGACGAGAGCACATGGAAATCCACTTAAAAGTAAGTCCTCTCAGTTGGAGCGGGAAACTACCGACGCTGGGGATATGCACACGCACACGCACACACACACACGCACACACACACACACACACACACACACGCACACACACACACACACACACACACACGCACACACACACACACAGCTATCTCTTATCAGTTGCTCCCAGGCAGAGACTGAATGAAAGGCGGCATGTCCACTCGGACTCGCTGGCAGGTGGCTTTTGGCGTTACCAGATAGACGGACAGACACGCACATGAAACTCCTCGTGTGCAGCATGTGACAACTGGTCCAGCATCTGCCCCGAGGCGTCTCATTTGGGCTCTCTCCTCGCACCGAAGCCCAGCGTGTGCATATGTGTGTGTGTGTGTGTGTGTGAGGAGTGACAGGCGAGGAGGCTGTTTTCTACCTGTGTTCCCTGTGGGGGAGCACCTGACAGCTACCTGAGCTCACTCTCTTTTGTACCAGGGGAAAAGGAAGCGTGTGTGTGTGTGTGTGTGTGTGTGTGTGTGTGTGTGTGTGTGTGAGAAGCTACCCATTCATTCCTCTGTATTCCTGACAGCGTGTGTGTCCAGGAGGGGACGCGTACTTATTAACTGTCTCACGGAGCCGGACAGGAACCAGCGGGACGGCCTCATCGCGTCCGGTCCGCTGCTCCGCCTCCACGCGTGTGTGTCGGAGGGGAAGCCATGCGAGCGGAGTGACAGGAGGTGAAATTCAATCGAACTGTGTCAGACGTTTACAACAGCGCGGGAGGGTGTCTGATGTCAGCGGGGGGGAAAAAACAAAACACATGAGGCAGAGGTTGTCAAAACGGCATTCTCCGTGTGGCGTGAAGGTATCCTCCGTGTTTCTTAACAACATACAGGTAGCAGCACGGGAGGATGCTGTTGTCGTGAAATACCACACGTTGTACACAGTGACAGTAAACACGCCACCTGGAGAGGAAAACAAGCTCACCCCAGCCTCCAGCCGAGTGAAGGCATCGGGAACAGGCCGCCTACTTATGCACCAGCAGTGGGAAACCCTCTCTGCAGGCAGAATAGAAGAGAAATGGTGGACGCTATTCAAGATTCAAAATATCTGAGAGCAATGAACAGCTTCCAAAATGACCATGAAGCTGAATCTCAGCCTCTCTTAAACTCTACTGAGCAGCGTGAGTTTTATGATCCATTGCAGGTCCAACATAACAGACAGCATTAGTTTCCCCTTGTTGTATCTAATAAGACGGGGGTGTAAGTGTATGCTGGACCCCGCGGCTCGACTCTCAATATAGTTTATTTCAATAAAATTCTTAAAAAGCCGCTGCTGTTGCGATGAAATGCTCTCAGCCAGAAGTCTTTCTAGGTCCCAAGGCCTCGTTTTGGAGGCTCCTACATCTCAAACCACCCCAATGAACCAGTAACGATCAGGGATTTTATATGGGGATCAGCATCGATTGGACTATATGAACATTTATCAAGAGAGTTTAAGCCACTTTGCTCTGAAGCAGGCCCATCACATACATATATCCATAATCCTTCTGTCCAGAAAAACACTATGCACAAGATATAAACCTTTAATTACCTACGTAACGCCGGCATGCCAAACGCCCATATAGGCTTTTACAGATAACACATGTGCTTATAATGAGAATAACAGTGCTGAGCCACTGATGGGAATGACCTTTAGAAACTATTTTCACTCACTTGATTTAGAAAAGTACTTTGGGTGTGTATAATGTGTACGTTGTTGTGCGTGTGTGTGTGTACCACAGAGTCTACTCCGCTGGTGAGTACAAGCAAGGAAGTAGCTTCCAGCTGAGTTGAGATGATGATTTGTAAAAAAAAAAAAAAAGAAGAAAAGAAGCCTTTTCTTAATCCTGAGTGGCAGGCCGCGTTTTCATACCGCGCTCATCAGTGACAGCCTCTGCACGCCGTCTCCTTCGGCACGAGGGATAACACTTCACTGTTTGTCTTGATACTAAAACTGTATAAATACAACAACAGGGAATGTGGCGTCTTTGCAGGCACAAAGCATTGCAATGTCTTTCTGAGGGCAATGAGCGCTTGCCAGTGCATGTAAGTGTGTAAAGGTAATCTCCCTCTAACCCAGCAGCGTTAAAAGCTTCACGTCCACCATTTTTTTCCTCGCTTTTCTTTCCTATCGGCAGCGTGGAAAGAAAATCCCATCGGGGAGCAGAGACAGCATGTCTGGCTTTGCACTCGTCGAGGCGAACGTCTCGCACAGGTAGCACTTCATCCCGTGTTTGGGGGGAGCAGCCATTACATTGGTGTTGGACGTGCTTTTGGATCCTCGCGAATCAATGCGTCACAGGGTGGTGAAAGAAAAAGGGCGAGCGCTGTTGTGATTAAAGCCACGGTGAACGGAAAACGTCGAGCGGAAGTGTGGCCGGCCAGTTCTCTGGCCGGCAATTTTCCGCCGATTCCTTTCAGTGGGCGCTCACCTGCTCATTGCTGCGGCGGATCAAAGCGCACGTCATCGAACAAAGCACTGCATTCGGGCATTGACCGTTTCACAGCAATGCAGGTCGACCACTTTCAATTTTAATCCCAGTTTGAGAATTTTTTTCTACAAGTCGAATGCTTTTCAACACAGAATTTGGATGGACAGATTCAAAGAGAATGTCCCCACAGCCCGTGTTTGCGCTGGAATGCTGTTATCAGTTTCATTGCTCTGCTGCTTTGTTGCATTTACCCCCAAACAGGGCGAGAGAGAGAGAAATGGACTACGGCAGGGAGCACCGGGGCATTCAGACCCAATAAGGCTGAACAGAAGTGGCGTGACAAACTCAAAATGGCTACTTTAGGGAGGGAGGGCTCTATTCTCCGCTAAAGCGCACGTTTTTTGGAATTATTTCACAGTGCTCCACCAGCTGGGAAGGTAGAGGACTCGAGGAGGGGGAAGGAGGGAAAGGAAAGGTGCGCATGAATGAGTAACAGTCCCTGAACTCTACACGGGTGACAAGAACAGCGGCTGAATTATGGGGCCTGCGCTCCATCGGCAAGCGCGTTGAATGACCCGCTTCAGGTGAGGCCAATTGGCCCGCGCTGAGATTATACTTGCAAACGGCGGCTACAACATTGACTAATGACCCACTGCTGTCAGGGAATCAGGAAGCGGAAGTTGATGGAGGGAGACACAGCTCGGTGGCATGGACGCGGCGTTGCATTAATGTTGAATGAGCCTAAATTCATTACGCTGCAGCACTCCTGAGGGACATCTTCCACTTACCTCCTAATAAAGGGAGCCTTTCTTTTCAGCTGACATTAAGTAATACAGATGTGCTCGTCGGCGCGGCCGGCTTTTAGCAGTCTCTCTCTCTCTCTCTCTCTCTCTCTCCTCTCCATGAGAGGGCTTCAGACACTCTATCAATGTCCTTTCGCAGTGAGGGGACTGGTTGCTATGGGAACAGCCAGTGATGCAACGCGCCACAGAGCAGCCTCGCCTCGTGGGGTCGGTCGGAAGCGGAATGGAAACTTTCCGTCATGCACACAGGTGGTTTGGTCACGTAAACACAAGCGCGCACCCACTGACACCCCCCCCCCCCCCATATCCATTCCCCAAAATTCGCAATGATTGCGAAGTTATTGAGATCACTTTCTGCCTGCTAAATGCATTCCGAGTGAGAATGTAATTGTCTCACTGTGGCACCTGAGGCTTCAGTTGGTCTGGAGAGCAGCCGCATCTCAGTGTGAAGTGAAGTTCAGCTGTACGCTTCAGCAAAAAGTAACCAAAAAAAACAGATAGCAGATTTTTAAATGGCAAAATATGTGACGGTAAAAGGCAAAGTACAATGCTTGTATTGATCTTTGGTTCGTGGTCCTTGGGGGAACAATGCAGTCAATTATTTATATGGCTGCAATCATACAAAGCCCAGAAATAAAGATAACACCGGCGCACAAAGGAACACGCCACTAAACCTGCTCTGTACGAGAAACATGGCTCCTTTAAACAAGTTAGCGGAAAAGGAAAAGAGGGAGAATGGAGACACTTTCCCAGGGTTTTTAGATGGAAACAACTATTCTCCTGTCCTGCTTCTTTTTTTTTTTCTATTCTCCATCTCTGCCTTTAGTGGCAGTTCTGTGCAGGACGTTAGCTCGTCTTTGTGCAGCGCGTGCTCGTTCCCCGGCGTAGAGGACAGTCCATCAGTAGTGTAACACATGTGCCGGTGCAGCTGGCTGCCTGCGCCCTGACGGCAGGAGGAAGTTATTTACTGCTTCCCTGAGAGGGGAAGATGAAATTGGAGAGAGAGGGGGGGAGAGAGAGACAGAGAAGATGCATGGGGGGAGGGGTGTGATGCAATAAGAGCTTTTATTAAAGTAATACTGTACGAGAGAAATTTAAAAAAAAAGTGACGGGAGGCTAAAGCGAAATACGAGAGGCCGAGGGAAAATACTCCAATTAAAAAAAAAAAAG